TCCGGGGCCCCGAGCGCCCAGCGCTGCAAGCCTCTGGCCAGCTGCCCATTCAGGAGCCGGGGCTCCACGCGCAGGGGCCGGGGCTGCAGCCGGGGGGCCTGCTGCTGGGCTTGCGCCTGCAGCTTGGCTTCCAGCCGCTGCTTGCGCTTCTGCAGGACCTGCTTCTCCTTGTCCAGCTTCTCGGCCCAGCGGCCACAGGGTGCCTGGACACTGTCCTTGGTCCCCGCCTGGGACTTCCTGGGTGGCTGGAGGCCACTGTCCCCAACGCCACCGCATTCCGGGAGCCGCGCCACATCCACACGCTTCACCGTCACCTCCGACACGCTCTCTGCCTGCAGCTGCCGCCCCCCAGCCTGCAGCACTGCGTAGGAACGGGGGGCGTGTCGGGGACCCCACTCGGGGCACCGTCTCAGCAGGCCCCACAAGGCCCCACAAGGCCCCACAAGCCTGCTCCTCCGTGCCCTCCCTCCTGGGGCAGCCGGGCGGCTGGAAGGGCAGGGACCGAAGCAGGGGTCAATGGTCAGTGGTCAGTGGCCTGGCCAGGGTCGGCTCAGGGCTCAGATCGCGCCTCTCCAGGTAACTCCGGGCCTCGCTGTGCCCTCCAGAGCACAGCACCGGGAGGGGTTCTGGGGGTCAGGGACCGCACTCACCCTCCAGCAGCTCCGCGCGGCCCCAGTCCTTCCGGCGGGCCTGCTCACACAGGCTGGCGGACGAGCTCCTCCGGGGGCCCCAGATGCCACCGCGGGTCCCTGCAGGAGACGCGGACGGTCCGCATGAACCAGTGGCTGGTCACGGCAAGGAGCCCGCAACTGCGCGACACTCGGTGGCGGGGTCTCAGTGGGAGGAGCACCCTGCGGCGTGGGGCCGAGGACTAAGGGTTCCCCAAACCCAGGTCAAGAACCGGGGTCGGCGGCTCCACGAGAAACCGGGAGTCAAAGGTCATAGGGCCCGGTCCAAGCCGGTCAGGAGTGTGGGGAGCGAAGGCCAGTGGGTTCCCCAGACCCCACGGGGAGAAGGCCAACGTGGGCCAGCTGGCCGCGTTACCTTCCTCGGCTGGGACAGCAGGGCTGC